TTCCCCAAGGATGGTGAACCTTGGGCTGTTCTCTCACCTTCCGCGCTAGGAAAGGGAGTCACTGGATTTGTTATTCATTTCACACGATGTGTTCTTCATGTCCAAATTCCGCAATTAGAGTTGTAAACAGTGAGTTTTGCGTGACTTTTATTGCGCTCGCACAGGATGGAAGGAGCAGTTGTTAATGGCCTCGCAGCAGGCCAGCAATGAGGAAAAAGGCTCTGGCTCACTACCCAGCGGAGGCTGAGCCGCCTGCCCTCCACCGTCCATTCTTGGAGAGCTTTGCTTCTCAGGCCTCTGGCCTTGGGGACTAGCCACTGAACCAGGTTCTGAGGGGCTGAATTTGGAACCCAACTTGACTCTTGTGTTCTTTGACAAGTTGCTTCACTTGCCCGAGCCTCAGCTTGCTGATCAGGAAATTGGGGGCAAGGAGTGAGATTTAAACAAATGACAAACACAAGACAGCAGCCCCGGTACAGAACTGGGCTCGGTGATGTTGGTATCTTGTTGTAATTAGGGCAGTCTCTCAACCATTTTGAGAGCTTGCCAGTCTGCCTAAAGATAATGCTAACAACAGCTTCCTTTATTGCTTACTGTCCCCAGGCATTTTTCTAAATGTTGTATGTGTATAATCTCGATGAATACTCTCAAGAGCCCTGGGAAGTAGGTATTGCTATTACCCTATTTGTACAGGGGAGAAAACTGGGCTCGGGGCAATTAGGGAAAGTGCTCAGGTCCCACAATTAGCAAGGGGTAGCGCCCGGCTCGAAACCCAGGTTGCCCAGCTGCGAGCCCACGCTCAGAGCCGTGACTCAGGACTGCCTCCCTGGTTTCATTAGATACGCGGCCTCTGCTCTCAGGAAGTTCTCTGGACAGAGGCAGGACAGCAAGCCACCACTGTGTGGCGTGATGAAGGCTTGGCATCTCAGAGCCGTTCAGGGTGTCCTCACTGGGTGAATAAAGGCTGAGGTGAGACCACAGGGGAGGGAGCAGCTGACTTAGCCGACCCTCAGGCATGCTCTTCTCTTTGGGATCTAAAGGAAAACTGAGCCTGATGTGCAGTTTTCTCCCTGAAGAGACTTATGGCAGGGTCTAGAGCCTGGGCCCAAGGCGATCTGAATGCGTACCCAGCTGCCGCTGCCCTTCCCCTCCACCCGGGGCTGGGGCACAGGACACAGGCAAGTCAGCTCTCTTGCCTCCTGAGGGCTCTCTGCACAGGCCCCTTGCCTGTGGGGTTCCCACTTCCTCTGAGGAACTGGGGCTACTGTCTTCACACAGGAAGTCGACTAGTCTCAGGATTCCAGGACCAAAGCACCATACCTAACAGCCCCCACTTCTCCCCTCTGCTTATCCTCAGGTCTCAGCCAAGGGGCAGTCTTTCCTCACCGCCCCGTCTAAGGCGCTCTCAGTTGTTACTGCATCACAGCTCATGTTGTGCAGTCACCTCACAGAGCCGAGTCCACAGACACCAGGCCTGCGATGCTTCGACTTTACCATGCTGTTTTATATAAGGGACTTGAGCATCTGTGGATTTTGGTATCCGCAGGGTCCTGGAACCAATTCCCCACGGATCGTGAGGGACAACTGCCTGTATAAATGTAACTGTAATCACAGCTGGCGGGTATACATAGATTGTGTACTTGGCAGTGGTCTCGCTCCACCACTAGGTGGTAAGCTCCTTGAGGGCAGGCACTTTGCTTTGTTCTCCAGTGTATCCCCGGTGCCTTGCACACTGCCTGGCCCAGAGTAAGCTTCAGTGCACTCTGGTTAGCAGATGGATCTGTTCATAAGGTCAGTGGATTTTTACCAGCCTTAACCCAGACACCTGACCCTTCTTCTGTAACATGGAGTTAAACTCATTCATCTGAAAGAGGTCTTGTGAGGGCTAAATGGAGAAACCTATAGGGGGCTCAGTCAGCACCATGCCTGGCACAGAGCAAGTCCTCAATCAATAGTTTTGTTAGTAGTATGAGTTATTACTAGTCAAGACAGCATCTGGCAGATCTGTACCCCTTCTTTCAGACCTAGTATCTTTTCATTGAGACCCAGGGATGGGAGCTTGAAAGATGTGCCCTCCCACACTGGGATGGAAGCCAGACCCTGGTCCTTCTGCTTGCTGAGGGCCAGTTGCTATGGGCCCAGGTTGAAGGTGAGTGGGGACTTCTCCTGCCACCAGGTCTTGCTGGCACAAAGAAGCTGGCCTGCCTTTCCATTTGACCCAAACCCCAGGCAAGAAAGACTTTCACACTCGAAGGGTTCTCCTACGGGCAAGGCCATACTGACACCCCCCCCCGGGAACTTTCTGGAACTCACACCCCAAGTCAAGCTGGTTTTGCACAACTGCATCCAGGAGAGCCCAGGATAAGAACAGCAAGCCGATGGCAGAGTATCAGTGGCAAGCATTCCACCTCAGGAGAGAGACCGCTCCTGAACAGCACAGGTGCAGATCCCCACCTGTCCAAAGACATTTCCTCTTCCTTTCTTCCACTTGGAGCAGGAAGTAGGGAGGTTTCCCTGTAGTCTGTATGAGGGCTCCACTGCCCTTTGCACAAAGCACCAGCCACGGAGAAGTGGGCTGCTCCCTGCTGCCATTTCTCAGTAGGGTGTCGGTAGCATTTGCGGTGGGGCAGTTCTCCACTGTGTGGGACTCTCCTACCCAACGCAGGGTGTTTAGCATCCCTGGACCCTGGCCACCATCAGTGTCATTGTGGGACCAAAGTATCCCCCCATGCATTTCCAAAAGTCCCCTGGAGGAGGTGGTACCACACCTAGCTGAGAATGTGACAAAGAAGGAATGTAAGAAGCGGGCTCTGGGCTTTGGGAATGGCTGGTGGCATTGAGTGGGGACGTCTGAATTGTGTTTACATCAAGGAGGCTTAACGATGTGTTTGTCTATTTGAGGTAAGTTCCTAAGTAGACGTGTTCAGAATATACCATGGGCATAAATGGCTTCTTATATTCGATTTTCCCAACTAACTCCATTGTCACAACACTGCTTTTGTCCCAGCTGCTTTTTCTGAAATCTGTTCATTGCTGCACATTAGTCCTGGCAGCATCAAGTTTTAGTGGAGTCCTTGAGGTTAGCACTGTGTTAATATACTGGGAATTTCAGCAGAGCTGGGCCCTCTAAATCAATCACCAGAACAGCTTTATTTAATTTTTTTCCTTCTTGCTCAAAAAATACACCTTGAAATGCTGGAACACGTGTGGGAGTGGAGGTCGACTTGGGTGAAGGACACACTTAAAAGGAAAATTTCATAATATTCTTTCTGCAGGAAAAAGGATCTGCTGGTCTTAATTCTTGGAGAATGGGGCTACAGAACACATTAATGTCTCTGCAGTGTCTTAGCGCCTCAGAATATCCTGGGCTGCTCAAGAGTCACTCAGTCATGTTTGCCTGGGCCATTACAGGTGCTTCACAAATATGTGTTGGATACAGGAATGCCTAAATTCACGGAAAATTTGAGGCTTTTAAGTGATGACCACCATATGGACTGATCCGTACTCACCTTCTCAATCCCCCTGGGGGTTTCTAGGGTGGCAAGTTTCACCTTGACACCGACCCCTGGAAAACAAGGACAGCTGATGCCACAGGAGTATTTTATCCCCCGTGATGTAGTTGGTAGTCATGGAATGTCTGGGAGGACCTGGTAGCCAGAGAGCCTCCATCCAGGGAAGGAATGAGGAGGAGGAGGCGGCGAGTGCAGACTCCTCTTCCCCAGAGTTTGCTGTGAAAGGATGGAGAGATAGCGGCTGGCTATTAGAAGGGGAGTGGGGTTGAGAGAATACAGGTGTGTGTTAAGATATGCTTTTTAAGAAAAGCAAAAAGGGAGCATGTTTTGCAACTGATGGAAAGAAGTCCAGAGAAAGGGATCTGATAGATGGGGAGAGAATGAAGCCACGTTCTTGCGGTGGGGACAGGGGAGGGACGGGAGAGGATGGGGTCCAAGGCCAGTGGGGTGGGCCCTGGACTACAGGAGGGGAACTCCCGTCTCGGAAGGTCCAGGGCAGGATGGAAGGAGGTTCAGGAGGAAGAAGCTTGCAGGCTGCCTTGCAAGTAAAGAGGGGGGTCTGTAAGTATTAGAGAGGGGAGACGGTTGAGGAACCCTGCTCAGGGGAAGTGGCTCAGAGGCTGGGCAGGCACCCCCAGAGGGAATACCAGGTAGGGCTGGGGGCCCTCTTGAAGTTGAAAACCAGGAGCTTGTGATGGGTCTAACTTGCCCAGTTCTGTGATTCTTCTTGGAGTTCCAGAAAGCTCCCCATCCAGGGAACAGGTGTGGAGAAGGTGAATGAGGCTGCAGAGGTGGGATTTACAGGGTGTGAAAGGCAGAAAGGATGAAGAATTAAAGATCTGAAGGTGCTGGGAAGGGAGTGACTGCAGGAATAGCCTTTCTAGGGACCTGGAAAGGCCAGGTGGGAGAGGAAGGAAAAGCAGGTTTTTATTCCTAAGGTCTCAGTTAGGCTGATGAGCAGGCATTCAGGAAGTAAGAGACGGAGTAATCAAGATTAAGATTTCAGGGGTACCGCAGTTCAGGCACTGAGAGCTGGGGTTTGGGTGTGGGAGGCCCTCCCTGGAACTGAGGCCACGGTGCAGGTTGGGTCACTCACTGATTGAGACTCTGAAGTCTTGCTGGTGGGATGTAGAGGAAGCTGTGAGCCTGATGCCAGAGACCTGGATGGATGCGGCGGGCTACCTGGGAAGCACCTGATGAGAACGAAGCGGGCGGAGTGTGGTGGTGCCTGATGTCTGATGCTTAAGGAGGAGGTGTTTTTACACCAGGGTGGGAAGCTGAGGTGTGGAAGGAGCACTGTGGGGAGAGGAGAGTGTCAGCTCCATCTCGTATGCCTGATGAGAGAACCAGCAGGTCCGAGAGCCCACAGGAGTGGCGGTGTCCTCCAGGAAGAGCCACTTGGGTCAGGACAGTGTTGGGCTGCGCCCCGCAGGCCTGCAATCCTTGGCGGTGCCCAGCCTCGAGACCAAAGCAAAAGGCCAAAGACAGTGACAGAGATATCAGTGGTTTACTGGACAGGGGGACCTTGCACAAAGGGTCCTGGAGTGACACCCCACCCTGTGCAGCAGACAGCGGCAGGACACGGCAGCGGTCTTTGCTACAGCTGGAGGAGGAGGCTACTGTTCATAGGGGATTAGACATCACGTAGCTCATCAGTTACCAGAGGCTAATTAAACCCTATAATTAAGAGGATTTGATAGGCATGTGAGTGAAGCAGGGCTGGCTGAGCAGGGGATGTACAGAGAGCAGGAGAACAGCCATCTTGAGTGGCCTGACTGCACAGACAGGCAAAGGCCCTTCTAGTTGGAAAGGGCAGGCCTTGAAAGACACTGGGATTTTGATAGGTGTTTTCAGAGGACTCCAACTGAGGCAGACAAGGGAAGACCAACCAGGGAAAGAAGCCCCGAGCGTATCAGGGTGAGAGAGGGGGAGAAAGCCCCAAGAAGACCACAAAAATTAAATCTCAGGTACATACTCAGGCCCCATAGGAACTGGGAGGGTAGGAGGAATCAGACTGGGGGACCCACAGCCCCTTTCCTGCGGCCACTGCAGTCACCCTTGGTCCCCGGCTTTTGTGCTCAGGACAAAGCACCCACTCCCGACAGTCTCTCCGTCCTCACGGCAACTGAACTCTGTCCCCGACATGTCACGCTGCTTTCAGTCCAGGATCAGCAGGGCTCCATGGAGGCTCCACTCTGCCAGGGGAAGGGTTCGGGAGAAAAGAGGGCTGTGTCTTGGCAAACTTGAGAGGTCAGGGAAGCCTTCCTGGAGCAGGAGCTGCCCTGGGCCTTAAAGGGAGCGATGGATGTGTGGAGCAAAAGCAGAGCGGGAGGAGTGCTTCAGGAGAGGGGAGCGCAGGTAGAAAGGGGTGGCATCAAACCTTCCTTTCTTTCTTTAGGAAGAAGCGGGTGTCAGTGGTTGAGAGCTGGGCTTTGGAACCAGTGGCCTGAGTTCGGTTCCCAGCTCTGCCACTTGCTGTCCATTTATTGACCTCTATCTGATTGTTTCTTCACCTAAAAGTGCAGGTAATAACACCCCCACTTATCCAGGGTTATTTTGAGGATTAAGTAAGTATGCTTGTAAAACACTTAGCATCCCTGACACCCCTGTGAAAGGAGCTCCCTGTATCAGTACACCTTGGCCACATAGCGAACTGCCCCAAGATTCAGTGGCTAAAGACACGTGTTTATTTAGCTCAAGATTCTGGGGGCCAGTAGTTTGAGCTGGGCTGCGCTGGCCCTTTCTTCTGGTGGTCTCAGCTGGGCTCAGTCAGGCAACTGCCGCCAATAGCTGGTCGGCTAGTTGGGTCAGCCTGCAGAGGTGGGCTGATGTCAGCTGGAGTGAGGGGGCATCTGGACCATGTGTGTTTCATCATCCAACAGGCTAACCCAGGCTGCTTCACCTGATGGTGGTGACAGGGATTTCTAAGAGCAGCAAGAAAGGGCACGCGCAAGTACACGAGTGCTTTTCTGGTCTCTCCTTGCATTATGTTCGCTGTGGAAATTTTGTCATTGGCCTAAGAAGTCACACGGCCAAGCCCAGATTCAGCGAGCAGAGAAATAGACTCCATCTTTGAAAGGAGTAGCTAGAAAGTCACATTGCAATGTGGTTTGCATGCAAGGATGGGGGAAATCTCTGGCTATTTTTATATCACAATTTCCTATCAGGTTCACTTTGTATGATTTCATTTGTTCACTCCTTCATTTATTCACTCCTTCATCCAAAAAACATTTATTGAGCACCTATCTTGTGGGATGGAAGGAAAGGCATCCCCAAAAGAATGGCCTCAGTCTCCTAGCACTTTCTCTGTCACAGTGCAGTCCATCTGGCATTGCTATCCCGGGTCTGTGACATCCGCTAAAGACATGAGCTGGACCTTTTTTCTCTAGTAAATCAGGTTATACTCTTCCTGGGGAAGAGGGAGATGGGATTGGGGATGGGGTTGGAGCAGGTGAAGTAAGGCTAAAAAAGATTTCTATTTGCAAATTAAAATCAGGCACCAGTATTTCATCCACACGAAGTCCATTTTTCTGGGATAATTTCTCCCTGCTGGATCTTAACCCACAGGTTTTACTGCTTTCCTCTTTCCTTCATCTTCCTGGTCCCTGAGATTACGGCTGAGTCCAGATTGCTATTGACTGTATGTTAAAAAAAACTCTGTTAAACACACACACACACACACACACACACACACCCTGGGAACATTCTAAGCTCTTCTTGTTTCAGTGCAGGGTAACAGTTGTGGTGTGCCCGCAAGGGACTAAGCCCCTTACTGCTCTCAGGGACCAGATGAGGGTTAGGCCTGGCGCAGACTGTGTCCTGGGGGCAAATATTGGAAATCTCATCCTGGAGAGGGCATCCTATTGTATCCAAACTATTAATCCACAAGGCCATGTTGGGGGTGGGGTTGTCCAAGGTACTGGCCAAAACTAAGCAGAGAGAAGCTTAGTGGACTCTTAGAGTAAGAGATATGAAATAGGAACCAGGTGGGGAGCCTGGATAGAGTTCAATGTCCCTGGAATAGTTTAGTTACACATATATTTAAACACCTATATGTTTGGAGTATATGTTACATGTCAAGCACTGGGTTGGATAATAGAGACACAACGGTGAGCAAGACGAGCATGGCCCCTGCCCTTGGGGAACTTGGAGTCTGACGGGGAGAGACTGACGTGACAAGAGCGCTACTAAGCACTGACATTACCCAGCACAAAGTCCATATAATCCCCCATCAGCTCTACGCAGTGGGTACCGCTATCATCTCCTGCTTTTACAGATGAGTAAACTGAAAGAATGAATGGCCAGGTAAACTGTCCACAGTCACACAGCTAATGAGCAATGAGAGTGGGGAGGTGAATCCTGTCAGTCTTTCTTAAATCAACCTCTTTCCTCTCCCCTGCTAGATGAAGCCCCCTCGGTATATACTTTACAAGCCCGCTTTACTTTGCTTTAAGATCGTGCATCACATGTTGTGATTCTGTTTGTGCATGACTGTTTGGTGAGTGAGCATAGCAGAATGCGTGTGTCAGCCAGTTCAGGCTTTGTTATGCTCTAGTAACGAGTGACCTCAAAATCCAAGTGGCTTCCAATAACAGACATTTCTCGGTCATGCTACAGGTCCAGATCTTTCCTGACCTTATCTTCCTCTTGCAGCGCTTGTCAAAAGCAGCCGACAGTAACAAAGGCGTGCTTGTCATCGAAAGCACGAGCTCATTTGCCATGTTTTCTGTCTGCCAACTTATTGCAGGCAGCAGTCTTGCCAAGTGTTTCGCTGCTGCTGCATAAAAGAGGTCACAGGGATGGCTCCTCACCACCCATTTTCTGGCCCCCGTGTCAATGTCTCATCTGTTAGGGTTTGGCGGCACTGTTTCATCAAGAATGGATTTCTTTATCATTCAGCTTAGGCTGATGATCCCCACATCGCAGGGCCTTACAACAAGAAATGCTTATTTCTTGCTTATGCTACGTGGTCACCAGCCTTCAGCTGCTGCCCTGGGTCACCTCACCTTTTTCTGGGGCCAAAGGAGCAGCCCCGCCTCTGGGACACGACCAGTCCAGTGGCAGAAAGCAAAATGAGATGTGGCAGATCACCTGCTTCCTCTTAAGGCTTCTGATTGGAAACGACATGCATCTCTCCTGCTCACGTTCCATTGGTTAAAGACACGTGGTCGAGTCTGACACAACGATGCTGGGACGTGTCGGCTGAGTCTGGAGGGAAGCACCGGGGCGGCCCCGAGGGACAGGGCAGGGAATCCATCTGTTAGAGGCATTAGGAGCGTGCACTGACAGTCACAGGCGGATGCAGAGTCAGCAGACTGTTGTGTTTTGAAAAGAGGAATGTCAGGGTGCATCTTTCTCAGTGCACATCGTGTGCCTCATCTTAGCTGTTTGTCAGGGAGTAGAGGGAGCTTGTGGTAGACGAGCAGACACAGCTAGGAAGGGTTTGGAGCAGCACCTTCCAAAATTGGGGCCTGGGGGAGAGGGTATAGCTCAGTGGTAGAGTGTGTGCTTAGCATGCCCAAGATCCTGGGTTCAATCCATTTGCCTCCATTAAAGAATAAATAAATAAATAAACCTAATTATCTCCCCCATCCCCAAAACCCAAACAAACAAAACAGTTGTTTTGTTT